TGAGCCCGGCTGGTTCTCAGAATCCTGGGCCTCCAGTGACCCTCCTTGCCTTGACTTAGACGCTTAGCATTTTTGTTTGGTTTTCTTAAAAAAATAACAGATTTTATGAAGGTAGAGGTCAGATGCTGAATGAGTGTCTGGCAAAAGTGGAATCAGCAGCTGGTGCGGCTGCCAGGGCCTGGCCCAAGAGCCCCAGAGCTACCCCGGGGAGGGGCGGAACCCTCCCCTTGCCCTGGGAAGGGGCGGTGGCGCCGGTGCTGCTCACACCAGTGAGGCTTCCCAGTCCAGTCACAGCTCCGTGATCTCCAGGGGGCTCTCCATGATCACGTCGCGGAACTTGTGCAGGGGCGTGGATTTGGCGGACTCTGTGCGGGCATTGCGCTCGAAGGCGGTGGCCTCGGCAGCGGTCAGCGTCTCCAGCGAGCGGCCCAGGCCCTTCTGGTCATCCTCAGGCAGGCTGTTGAGGTCGGTGGCCAGCAGTGTTCCCGTGCTGCCGTGCACCACGTGGATCCCGTCGGGTCCCTTGAGCTCCACGGGCGGTTTGTGGCGAAAACGCAGGCTGCCCTGGCCTGGGCTGCGGTCCCCTGGCTCCTCGTCCAGCTCAGTCTGGATCAGCTGCAAGAGGCCAGGACCCCTACACGGTCAGGGTCATGCCCAAGGGTGAGTGGGTGGATGGCCTGAGTCCCACCTGCTGTGTGCCCGCTTCCTCCCTATCTCACAGGAGGAGCAACCTGGGTGTGAGGGGAACCAGGGACATTTAAGTTGCTGCAGATTGTCCCGAGGAGTATGAGCTTCCTGTGAGAACCTTTCTATGTTCACTTTGATGCTCTGTAAAACTCCCATGATGCACTTGTGGTATCTGGGTTTATGACCCAGTTGGCCTCAATTAGGTCAGCTTTAATTGTGTCCAGGTAGTAAATGTCCACAGGGCGGGTTGGAGGGGACAAACAGGGTGTGGTGGAGACTTGCAAATGGCACTCTTGTCCTGCACGAGGCTATTCTGCTTAGTCTATTCCTGCTGTGACTGTGGGCCCAGCTGGAAGTTGGATTTTAGATAAAATCTGACTTTTTAAAGTGATGGCATGTCACTACAGAAAACACACGTAGGCCTATTTGACCCTGATAGCGTTTCTTAAAGTGCCATCATCCCTTAAAGATACCTTCTTGGGATTCCTGGAATCAGAAATGCTGCTTCAGAGCCCAACCCAGTGAAAGTCCCCTCAGAATCCAGAGAGCAATCTGACTTCCTGAGACCCCACCCATCCAGTGCTGTCTTTGGCCCTGTCTGAGCTCCAGAAGGGTGACAGGGCAGAGAGAGAGAGAAAGAGGGAGCTAGAAAGAGGGGGAGAGAAAGCACGCGTGAGAGCAAGAGTGAGCACCCCCAGGGCTGGGGCACAGCACACAGTTCCCGGCCTCCAGGCCAGCTACCTCAGAGATGGAGGAATGGCAGGAGGAGGCTTTTTGCACCATCCGCTGTGCAAAGAGCTTTTTGAGCCGCAGGTAATCCTCCAGGACCACCTTCAGCAGCGAGCCCTGGGGGAGGGAGAGGGTTAACCCCCCACCAAGGCCTCCCCTGCCTGCCCCCCTCGCCCACTGCCCTCTGGGATTCGAGGGTGCACGCACGTCAGACCCTAGGGCAGAGGATCGGGAGCAGAGTCTGGTGACCACAGATAGCCAGGACCTATGTGGACTCACTCCTGGGCCCCGGCCTTGAGGCCCCACGGGCTGACGTGGCTCCCCATCAGCCCCCGTGCCCAGGCCTCGCTTTCGGTTTGGTTTCTTGCCCCGTGGAGGGTAGGTCTAGCTGAGCCTGGATCCAACTCCCTGCATCCTCTGGAGTGGGGTCCAAGTTCAGCCAGGGGTTGGAGGCAGGCACCTGCAGGGAGGGCTCACCTTGATGGGCCCCTCGCGAATGATCTGACCCAGCTTGGCAATGTTGTCATACTCCTGGATGGCTGCCCGCAGGTACCGGTCATCATCAGGCTTGACCGCTGCTGGCTCACGCCCAAAAGTTCCCTGCGGAGAGGGGACCTTAGCTGGAGCGCAAGTAGTCACCGCCCACGTGCACAGGGTAGGGGATCCTACCCCAAAGAACCCAGCTCCTTGGCCAGAGGTAGCAAAGCCCTAGCCCTCCACCCTGCCCTTCATGACTGCCCGGCCGCCGGCCCCGCCCCAGCTGCGGCCCGGCTCACGTGGGTGCGGGTGGGGCTGTTCCACAGGTCAGCGATCTCACTCAGGTTCTCAGGCAGGTCGTCCTCGTGCTCGGCCTGGGCGGCCAGCTCCAGGTTCCGACAGAAGGGATCCAGCCACACGGGGTTGGCTCTGGCGTTGGGGGTGTAATGGGGGCGGGGAAAGGGGCAGTCTCCAGTAGACAGATGCCCTCCCAGGCTCACACCCTCACCCCTGCCTGTTTCCCTGGCCAATGCAGTGCCTTTCAAGGCCACTGGAAGCAGGCCCCTTGACCGTGGCCCCTGTGGGTGCGTGCTGCTACCCTAGAACCAGGACCGCATGTCAGTGTGGATCCCCTTTGGTGCAGAGGCCTCACCCTGCACCCAGTACCCAGATTCTGGCACTTGGGACCTGAGCTGGCTCAGCAACCTGGTTCCTGAGGGTGGAGCGAGAGGAGTGGCCAGCCCGCCAGGGGGAGCCCACACCCCAGGTTTCAGCGCATCCGTGCTCCCTTAACGCTGGGAAGACCGCAGAGCCGTCTCCCCAGCTGGGTCCTGCCAGGCCTCCCCGGAGGGGGACTGGGCGGGGCTTGGCGACCCCACTCACCCGTCAAAGGAGTACTTGTTGGTGTTAGGCATGTCCATGATGTCGATGAAGCCGCGGTTCCCTGCCGGGAGAAGGGTTGGGGTGTGGCGGGGAGGCTGGGCCAGCCTGTGAGGCCGGGCAGGCCCTCCAGGCCCCCAGAGCCCAGGGACCCTCTCGCCTCCCTCCCCTGCCACGGTCCTTACTCACCCGCCGAGCCGGCCACGATGGCCTTGAGCTTCCGCTTGTGTCTGGAGAGAAGCAGCGAGAGGCGCCGGTGAGGGAGGCTGGGGCTGAGCTCGCATCTCAGGGCTGGGCGGCCCAGCCTGCCTCACGGCTGTCCAGGAGCCGGCAGCCAGTCCCCATCTGAGGGCAGGGGCGGGGGGACACTCACACGGTCCTGTAGTACCAGTTCATGAGGACGAAGAGCATGGCCGCCAGGAACAGGAGGATGGCCAGGACGATGATCGCCAGCTGTGGGGCGCAGCAGGCCGGGCGTGAGCCTGGGGCATGGTGCCAGGGGGAGGGCTGGGGGCCGTGGAGCGGGGCCACGGGTACCTGCAGGGCGGACAGGTCATCGGGCAGCCGGACAGAGATGGCGGGCTGCACGTCGAGGACGTTGTAGTTCCGGAAGAGATTCCGCAGCTGTTCCTTGTTCTCATCAATCATTTGGATCACCCTGGGCGAGGTGCAGGGGGCTCAGCTGCCATCCTCGCCCATCCCCCCAAGCCCGCCACCCTCCAGGACAGTCTGCTCTGCTCCGGCCTCGAGTCCCGGAGTTGGCCAGCCCAGGCCTGGCAGGACTAAAGCCCACCCGGCTCGGACAGCTTTGTGTCTTACGGGGTTCCCCACGTCTTCACCGAGGCTCCTGCTCCGTTCCCCCAGTAGGTGAAATGCTCCCCTTTTACGGGTGGGGAGAGCAGGGCTCAGAGGGACAGCGCCCTGCTCATACCGGCCGATTTGGTTCCCTCGACG